TATGTGTAAATGTGTGTGTGTAAATGTGTGTGTGTAAATGTCTATGTGTAAATGTGTGTGTGTAAATGTGTCTATGTGTAAATGTGTGTGTGTAAATGTGTGTGTGTAAATGTGTGCTGTGTAAATGTGTGTAAATGTGTGTGTGTAAATGTGTGTGTGTGTAAATGTGTGTGTAAATGTGTGTGTGTAAATGTGTGTGTGTGTAAATGTGTGTGTGTAAATGTGTGTGTGTAAATGTGTGTGTAAATGTGTGTGTAAATGTGTGTGTAAATGTGTGTGTGTAAATGTGTGTGTAAGTGTATGTGTAAATGTGTGTGTGTAAGTGTGTGTGTAAATGTGTGTGTAACTGTGTGCGTGTAAACGTGTGTGTGTAAATGTGTGTGTAAATGTGTGTGTGTAAATGTGTGTGTGTAAGTGTGTGTGTAAATGTGTGTGTAAGTGTGTGTGTAAATGTGTGTGTAAATGTGTGTGTAAATGTGTGTGTAAATGTGTGTGTAATGTGTGTGTAAATGTGTGTGTAAGTGTGTGTGTAAATGTGTGTGTAAGTGTGTAAATGTGTAAATGTGTGTGTAAATGTGTATGTGTGTGTGTGTAAATGTGTATGTGTAAATGTGTATGTGTGTAAATGTGCGTGTGTAAATGTGTGTGTAAATGTGTGTGTGTAAATGTGTGTGTAAGTGTATGTGTAAATGTGGGTGTAAATGTGGGTGTAAGTGTGTGTGTAAGTGTGTATGTGTAAATGTGTGTGTAAGTGTGTATGTGTAAATGTGTGTGTAAATGTGTGTGTGAGTGTGTGTGTAAATGTGTGTGTAAATGTGTGTGTAACTGTGTGTGTGTAAATGTGTGTGTAAGTGTGTGTGTAAAACTTACAGGAAACAACGAGCCACATTAGTCACACAAACTCAAGGTCCTGAGAAGTCACACACAGTCCCAGTTTGGAGATTTATACAAAATCAGTAATTTGTTCCATTTTTATACAAGAAATGTCCCAGAGTGTCTATTTTGGACAAATCTGATCCTGACAACAGTAAAGAGAAACACAAACCGTCGATAAAATACACAAAATCTGCTACAAAACACAAAGAAAATGTGATTATACTGACTCATGTTCGTCATGAATTCGGACTCGTTTCACAATTTTATTATGATCACCAAAAAAACCTCAATGTTCCAGATTTTTATTTTGAAATACTGGTCAGTCTAATTTCTGAACTACTCCAGAGAAAAACTGTCCTCGAGACTCTCACATTTAAACGTCGCAAATCTCCGTGTCTGTGCAAAAAAATCTCCACATCGTGAAATAGATTTTAAATTTTTCAGCGGGAAACTTCAGCTCTGGTGTAAACTGAAACTTCTAAAAGTACCAACGTGTGCAGTCGGGATGTAACGGCTCATGTGTTTGTGCTGAATCATTTCAGTACAGGATGTCCTGTCGGGTGCAGGTCGTTCGTCGTGTCGGGTGCAGGTCGTTCGTCGTGTCGGGTGCAGGTCGTTCGTCGTGTCAGGTGCAAGTCATGCGTTGTGTCGGGTGCAGGTCATCGTGTTTGGTGCAGGTCGTTCGTCGTGTCGGGTACAGGTCGTCGTGCTGGTGCAGGTCGTTCGTCGTGTCGGGTGCAGGTCGTCATGTCAGGTGCAGGTCATTCGTCGTGTCGGGTGCAGGTCGTTCATCGTGTTTGGTGCAGGTCAGTCATGTCAAGTGCGGGTCGTCATGTTGGTGCGGGTCGTCGTGTTGGTGCGGGTCGTCGTGGTTGGTGCGGTCGTCGTGTGGTGCGGGTCGTCGTGTTTGGTGCAGGTCGTTCGTCGTGTCGGGTGCAGGTCATTCGTCGTGTCGGGTGCAGGTCGTTCGTCGGGTCGGGTGCAGGTCGTTCGTCGTGTCGGGTGGCAGGTCATTCGTCGTCGGGTGCAGGTCGTTCGTCGTGTTTGGTGCAGGTCAGTCGTGTCAAGTGCGGGTCGTCGTGTTGGTGCGGGTCGTCATGTTGGTGCGGGTCGTCGTGTTGGTGCAGGTCGTCATGTTGGTGCGGTTCGTCGTGTCGGGTGCAGGTCGTTCGTCGTGTCGGGTGCAGGTCGTTCGTCGTGTCGGGTGCAGGTCGTTCGTCGTGTCGGGTGCAGGTCATTCGTCGTGTCGGGTGCAGGTCGTTCGTCGTGTTTGGTGCAGGTCAGTCGTGTCAAGTGCGGGTCGTCGTGTTGGTGCGGGTCGTCATGTTGGTGCGGGTCGTCGTGTTGGTGCAGGTCGTCATGTTGGTGCGGTTCGTCGTGTCGGGTGCAGGTCGTTCGTCGTGTCGGGTGCAGGTCGTTCGTCGTGTCGGGTGCAGGTCGTTTGTCGTGTCGGGTGCAGGTCGTTCGTCGTGTCGGGTGCAGGTCATTCGTCGTGTCGGGTGCAGGTCGTTCGTCGTGTTTGGTGCAGGTCAGTCGTGTCAAGTGCGGGTCGTCGTGTTGGTGCGGGTCATGTTGGTGCAGGTCGTCATGTTGGTGCGGTTCGTCGTGTCGGGTGCAGGTCGTTCGTCGTGTCGGGTGCAGGTCGTTCGTCGTGTCGGGTGCAGGTCGTTTGTCGTGTCGGGTGCAGGTCGTTCGTCGTGTCGGGTGCAGGTCATTCGTCGTGTCGGGTGCAGGTCGTTCGTCGTGTTTGGTGCAGGTCAGTCGTGTCAAGTGCGGGTCGTCGTGTTGGTGCGGGTCGTCATGTTGTGCGGGTCGTCGTGTGGTGCAGGTCGTCATGTTGGTGCAGTTCGTCGTGTCGGGTGCAGGTCGTTCGTCGTGTCGGGTGCAGGTCGTCGTCGTGTCGGGTGCAGGTCGTTCGGTCGTGTCGGGTGCAGGTCGTTCGTCGTGTCGGGTGCAGGTCATTCGTCGTGTCGGGTGCAGGTCGTTCGTCGTGTTGGGTGCAGGTCAGTCGTGTCAGTGCGGTCGTCGTGTTGGTGCAGGTCGTCATGTTGTCGGTTCGTCGTGTCGGGTGCAGGTCGTTCGTCGTGTCGGGTGCAGGTCGTTCGTCGTGTCGGTGTGCAGGTCGTTTGTCGTGTCGTGTCAGGTCGTGCAGGTCGTCGTGTCGGGTGCAGGTCGTTCGTCGTGTCGGGTGCAGGTCGTCGTGTTGGGTGCAGGTCGTCGTGTTGGGTGCAGGTCGTCGTGTCGGGTGCAGGTCGTTCGTCGTGTCTAACGAACTATTGAAATAAGTAAAGTATCAGAATGTAGGAAAGAGTTACACTCCAACAGGGTCAAGTTAAACCTGTGAGATTCTTTCAAGTTCAAGACAAAAAAATTAAAAACTCATGTCAGTAACGGAGGGAATGAAATATGCAGCACTTTTTGGTCAATAAATCCAAACAGTGATAACTCTTGGTTCTCACTTCCATATCCTTAACAAACTGGTTTGAATATTTGCTTCATATAGTTTTCTACCATATGGTACAAGATTAGGTTGAAAAACCTCTGACTTTTTGACTCATGAGATTTTTTATTAAGAAAAGTTCATGGTAACGGAGGGAAAAGTAACGGAGGGAAAATTGTACAAACAAGTAGAAGGTGCAGGATTTTACATCATTTGTGGCTTTTTTTCTTCTGAAAACTTTAATATTACTTCAAAATGAAAGAAACTATTTCTATAAAATATGTCAGTCCTTCCAACAACATTTTTATCATTTTAAATATATATTTTTTTTAAATCCTGTCCCTTCATCAACAGTTCAAAGATGGAATAACACAAGATATGATGAAATACAAACATTTATTTACAGGATTTTTGGGTCTTTGAAATTTGGGAAATAATTTTTCTTCCATGTTTCATATTTTGGTCCCAAACTGAACTGAAAATGAACCTTAAACCCAAGAAACGTTCCAGTCTCCGTCTGCAGCTCTGACGTTCCGTGACTCCCGATGCTCCCGGTGTAAATTCCGGGTAAATCTCTCTCTCCACCCCTCCCCCATCTCCCTATCTCTCTCTCTCTCTCTCTCTCTCTTCATCCCTCGTTCTCTCTCCCTCTGCAGTGTGAGTGAAAGAACCTCAGCTGCAGCACACGGACACACTGTTTAGACCTGGTTTAGTCCTGGTTTAGTCCTGGTTTAGTCCTGGTTTAGTCCTGGTTTAGTCCTGGTTTAGTCCTGGTTTAGTCCTGGTTTAGTCCTGGTTTAGTCCTGGTTTAGTCCTTGTTTAGTCCTGGTTCAGTCCTTGGTTTAGTCCTGGTTTAGTCCTGGTTTAGTCCTGGTTTAGTCCTGGTTTAGTCCTGGTTTAGTCCTGGTTTAGTCCTGGTTTAGTCCTGGTTTAGTCCTGGTTTAGTCCTGGTTTAGTCCTGGTTTAGTTCTGGTTTAGTCCTTGTTTAGTCCTGGTTTAGTCCTGGTTTAGTCCTTGTTTAGTCCTGGTTTAGTCCTGGTTCAGTCCTGGTTTAGTCCTGGTTTAGTCCTGGTTTAGTCCTGGTTTAGTCCTGGTTTAGTCCTGGTTTAGACCTGGTTTAGTCCTGTTTTAGTCTGGTTTAGTCCTGTTTAGTCCTGTTTTAGTCCTGGTTTAGTCCTGGTTTAGTCTTGGTTTAGTCCTGGTTTAGTCCTGGTTTAGACCTGGTTTAGACCTGTTTAGTCTGGTTTTAGTCCTGGTTTAGTTCTGGTTTAGACCTGGTTTAGTCCTGGTTTAGTCCTGGTTTAGACCTGGTTTGTCCTGGTTTAGTCCTGGTTTTAGTCCTGGTTTAGTCCTGGTTTAGACCTGGTTTAGTCCTGGTTTAGTCCTGGTTTAGTCCTGGTTTAGTCCTGGTTTAGTCCTGGTTTAGACCTGGTTTAGTCCTGGTTTAGTCCTGGTTTAGTACTTGTTTAGTCCTGGTTTAGACCTGGTTTAGTCCTGGTTTTAGTCCTGTTTAGACCTGGTTTTAGTCCTGGTTTAGTCCAAGTTTATTCCTGGTTTTAGTCCTGGTTTTAGTCCTGGTTTTAGACCTGGTTTAGTCCTGGTTTTAGTCCTGGTTTAGTCCTGGTTTAGTCCTGGTTTAGTCCTGGTTTAGACCTGGTTTAGTCCTGGTTTAGTCCTGGTTTAGTCCTGGTTTAGTCCTGGTTTAGTTCTGGTTTAGTCCTGGTTTAGTCCTGTTTTAGTTCTGGTTTAGTCCTGGTTTAGTCTTGGTTTAGTCCTGGTTTAGTCTTGGTTTAGACCTGGTTTAGACCTGGTTTAGACCTGGTTTAGATCTGGTTTAGTCCTGGTTTAGTCCTGGTTTAGACCTGGTTTAGTCCTGGTTTAGTCCTGGTTTAGACCTGGTTTAGTCTTGGTTTAGACCTGGTTTAGACCTGGTTTAGTCCTGGTTTAGTCCTGGTTTAGTCCTGGTTTAGTCCTGTTTTTAGTCCTTTTAGACCTGGTTTAGTCCTGGTTTAGTCCTGGTTTAGTCCTGGTTTAGACCTGGTTTAGTCCTGGTTTAGACCTGGTTTAGTCCTGGTTTAGTCCTGTTTTAGTTCTGGTTTAGTCCTGGTTTAGTCCTGGTTTAGTTCTGGTTTAGTCCTGGTTTAGTCTTGGTTTAGTCCTGGTTTAGTCTTGGTTTAGACCTGGTTTAGACCTGGTTTAGATCTGGTTTAGTCCTGGTTTAGTCCTGGTTTAGTCCTGGTTTAGACCTGGTTTAGTCCTGGTTTAGTCCTGGTTTAGTCCTGGTTTAGTACCTGGTTTAGTCTTGTTTAGTCCTGGTTTAGTCCTGGTTTAGTCCTGGTTTAGTCCTGGTTTAGTCCTGGTTTAGTCCTGGTTTTAGTCCTGGTTTAGTCCTGGTTTAGACCTGGTTTAGTCCTGGTTTAGTCTTGGTTTAGTCCTGGTTTAGTCCTTTAGTCCTGGTTTAGTCCTGGTTTAGACCTGGTTTAGTCCTGGTTTAGACCTGGTTTTAGTCCTGGTTTAGTTCTGGTTTAGTCCTGGTTTAGTTCTGATTTAGTCCTGTTGGGGGCGGGGCTTCATGTGGAGCAGACTGAATAGTGGGCGGGGCCAATCAATGAGGTCTACAGGAAGTCCCACTAACGAGTTAATAGACAATCAATCAGATCAATACAGACCAGACCAGAACTAAACCAGGACTAAACCAGGACTAGGACTAAACCAGGTCTAAACCAGGACTAAACCAGAACTAAACCAGGACTAAACCAGGACTAAACCAGAACTAAACCAGGTCTAAACCAGGACTAAACCAGGACTAAACCAGGACTAAACCAGAACTAAACAGGTCTAAACCAGGACTAAACCAGGACTGAACCAGGACTAAACCAGGACTAAACCAGGACTACAGCAGAACTAAACCAGGATTAAAACAGGTCTGAAGCAAAGTTCATGATCTGAGTAAATTTCACTTGAAATACTTTTACTACTAAACTTAAAATAAGAAAAACAACAACTTTTTTAAATCAAATCAAATGTTGCTTGAATTAAAAAAACTCACATGTTCCACTGGTCGAACATTTCACTCGTCAAATTAAATCGACTCAAATAAAGTTAAATTTTAAATCATTTTAATTCAACTTCGTGTTGTTTTAGTTTTGTTTTTTGCTGTGGAAAATCCAGGACTGAAAAAATGATCCAGTTGATTCTAGTGAAGGTGTGAGGAGTTTAAAAACACAGTGGAGCACTTCCTGTCTCGCCACATGATGACATCACGAGGTGGAACAGAGTCTTAAAACACCTAAACCTGCAGCGTGAATGAAACGAAACACAACTCCAGATCAGTGTGACCAGGAAACAGACACGGCAGAAAGTGCAGTGTTAATATTCAGAGTCAAATATTTCAGAGTTGTTTTAAACGCAAAAAGTTTTATTTTAACTCTTTGAGAGTTAAATGTGAGTTGGAGTTGGGCTTATTTGTCAGAGTTGATTTGGTTGATGTTCATTTAACCTCCTCTAGTGTTAATTTGTCTCCTCCACTTCAAACTCCCTCCAGTTTGAAGAACCAGTTTGAACCAGTTTTGTT